AAAGCTCGGGATGTTTCCTTTCCCCAGCTCACTCCAGGCCCCTGCCCCGGCCCCGCTACAACGACGACGGGAGGTTCCCTCAGGCCAACTCCCAGCACGAGGACTGGAGCGAGGATCCCAGGGAAGATTATCCCGGGGAAAACTTCCCTGGCCCTTCCTACCGAGCCAGCAGCCCCCTGCTCCGGCAGGAGAATTATTTCCACGGACACTTGGCCCGCCCCACGCCCAGGGAGCGGGAATTCAGCCGGGATTTCGGGCGCCCCGCTGCCCAGAGCCGGGAATTGGGGCGCGGAGCTGCTGCCGGCAGGGAGTACGGGCATCACCCCGCTGCTCACAGCCGGGACTACGGGCGGGACAGGGATTATGGGCACGGCGGCCAGGACTACGGCCCCTCGGATTGCTGGGAGGGCAGCGGGCCTCAGGAGCCCGAGTTTGGCTCCTCGGATGTTTTGGGGGATTTTAGGTCGCCTGGCTTGATGGAGGAGGAGTTTGGCAGCGTGGAAAATCAGGAGTACGAGGAGGAGTTCGGGGCGCCGCTGCACAGGGGGGGCGTGGGCAGGGGGAGAGTCCTGAGGGGGAAACGCCTCACCAGGGGCGTGGTGAAACCCAAAGCGTTCAAAGGAGACGTCAAAAGCCCCCTCAAGAAGTGGAACGTGAAGAAAGCCCAGCCAGGCCTGGAGGCCAAAGCTCTGGAGCAGCCTCTGGACGTTCCCAACCAGAGGCCGGTGCCACTCCAGCAGCACCCCCAGCTGCCCCCCTCACACCCTCTGGCAGCTCAGAGACCCATCCTGAGGCTGCCAAAGCCTGCCCACGTCTTCAGGAACCTCAGCTTCGACCTGGTGGATAAATCTGACATTTTCTCCACCTTTGGCATCGAGATCATCAAGTGGGCGGGGTTCCACGCCATCAGGAACGACGCCGAGTTCTCGCGGCTCTTCGGGGCCCTCTTCGAGCTGGAGACCGAGACCTGTGCCAAAATGTTGGCCTCCTTCAAGTGCTCCCTGAGGCCGGAGCACAGAGATTATTGCTTCTTCACCATCAAGAGCCTGCAGCACGCCGCCCTGAAAACCCCCAAGGTGGACAACGAGTTCTTGAACATGCTGCTGGACAAGGGGGCCGTGAAAACCAAGAACTGCTTCTTTGAGATCATCAAACCTTTTGATAAATACATCATGAGGCTGCAGGACCGCCTCCTCAAGGGGGTCACCCCGCTGCTGATGGCCTGCAATGCCTACGAGCTGAGCATCAAAACCAATGGCTTTGGCAACCCCAGGGAAATGGCCAACGCCTTCGAGACCACCGTGTCCCTGTGCCGAAAGTCCCTGGCTCTGCTGGGCCAGACCTTTGCTCTGGCCTCTGTTTTCAGGCAGGAGAAAATCCTGGAGGCTGTGGGGCTGCAGGAGATGGCTCCAGCACCCACGTCCTTCCCGAATTTCGACGATTCCACGCTCTTTGGGAGGGAGTACATTGAGAATCTGAAGGCCTGGTTGGAGAAGAGTGGGTACCCCATCCAGATGAAGAAGGCAGAGGCAGAATCCACAGAGCAGCTCAAGGCTGCCTCCCCTGACACCAAAGGTAACTGGGAGGGAGGTGCTCTGCAGGATCTGCTTCGTTTTTATGGTTTTGTTGGGTCAGGAACTCCTGACTCTGGGAATTCCGGGTGAATCCCAACAACTGATGGGGCAGGGAGGGAATTCC